AGAGAGAGAGAGAGAGAGAGAGACAGAGACAGAGACAGAGACAGAGACAGAGACAGAGACAAAAGACAGAAACACAGAAAGACAGAGACATTGATCTAAGCTGAGAGCTCAGGAAGACTGCTCTAAAGAGGGACCATTATCAGGCAGGCATGGGACTCATTCCTGTAATTTCAGACTTAGAATGTGAGAGGATGGTGAGTTCAAGACCAGTAGTACCCTGTCTCAAAAAAAAAAAATGAATAAATACATAAATAAAGGGGAGGGGACATTAAAGTGAATTTTAAAGGCCAACAATGGTGGCATATGCCTTTAATTCAGGAACTTTGGAGGCTGAGGCAGGTTGATCTCTGTGGGTTCAAGGCCAGCCTGGTCTACATAGAGAATTTAAGGTCAGCCAGGGCTACATAGGGAGATCCTGTCTCAAAAGAAAAAAAAAAAAGTGGCTCTTAAAGATGACTAGGAAGAAAGCTGGGCGGTGGTGGCACACACCTTTGGTCCCTGCATTCAGGAGGCAGAGGCAGGCAGATCTCTGAGTTCGAGGCCAGCGTAGTCTACATAGTGAGTTCCAGGACAGTCAGGACTACACAGTGAATTCTTGTCTCTAAAAACAAAACAAAACAAAAGATAAATAGGAGGGTCTGGAGAGCTTGCTCAGTGATTAAGAGCACTGCCTGCTCTTCCAGAGGACCCGGGTTCAGTTCTCCGCACCCACCTGGCAGGTCACAACCATCTGTAACCCTGATCTTAAGAGATCTGAGGGCAGTAGGCACACATGTGGTACACAGACACAAATGCAGACAAGCACCCATATACATAAGATAAATAAATAAATTATGTATTTTAAAGATGAACGGGAATGTCTGCCGGGAAGAACAGAAGCATTCCTGGAACACGAAGAGTGTGTGCAGACTCTCAGGTGGGAAGGGTTGTCCTGTTTGAGGATTAAAAGGAGGCTGGGAGCCAAAGTGTAGACCTTGGAGGAAGAGAGGCTGCAGCAGCAATCCTCACAGTCGTGTGAGACCCACGAGTGACTGTGGAACATCAAGACTTTCCAGCTAACGTTGCAGGTAGAGTTTGCAGGCAGTGCACATGGCTACCACAGGTACCTCTCAACCATTGTGGTCCTTGACACATCATTGCTACAAACAGGCAGCTGTGTCCAATACCTGCACACAAGGCAGAGAGTCCACGCGGTACTGGAAACCTCCTTTGGTTTCATGAGCCATCCTGGGGGCATGTCAAGTCCTGGAAGCAGCCGAGAGCCTCCTCTTCCGTGCCTGTCATGCAGCAGACGTCCAGGGAGAAACACCTTTGCCGGGTCCCCCTCATGCCGCTCCACTCTGGTGCATGACTTCTAGAGGAGTCCCTAAAGAGAATCTTCAGGGGTCACCAACCTAGGGACTCCAGTTGTCCCGGGGACACCTAGCCTTATGGCCTTCCCCTAGTCCTATTTATGACAGTATAGCCTTCCCACTGGATAGACAAACTTGACCCAACCAGAAGATAAGTTAAAATAATAAGCAAACAAACAAAGACCTTCCCTTGCCCTTCTTCACCTTGCACTCCCACCCACAAGTGCCGACCTGGGCTCCGATCGCACTCTCCACCAATGGCCTGGGTGGCCTTTAGCTAATAAGTGAGTCGCTCTGACCTCAGGCCTCAGTTCCATAGAATGACAGAAATCCTATGTCCCAGGACTGTACGAGGGTTACATAATGCATACAAGTCAGCTGAGGTCGCAGCAGGTCTTGTCAGAAATACAAAGATGCAGACAGGAGACCACTAATGTGGTCACATGCACATTTCTGTACATAGACAGAAGATCACTTATGTGGTCCCATGCACACTTCTGTGCACAGACAGAAGATCACTAATGTGGTCACATGCACACTTCTGCACACAGACAGAAGACCACTAATGTGGTCACATGCACACTTCTGTGCACAGACAGGAGACCACTAATGTGGTCACATGCACACTTCTGTGCACAGACAGAAGCCACACTGAGTACATCATGGTCAGAAACACAAGGAGACATCCTTTCTGATGTCCTGCCTCAGTCTCTCCTTGCCCCAGATGAGGAATCATCCAGTTGGATCCAGATCTGACACACCTGTCTGAGAGCTACAGGATCAAAGGGAGTTTTCCCTTGGGTGACTCTGCAGAAAGGGCTCTGATCATGAAACCCCATCACCTGTGGGTCTAGGGGAGCAGAAGGAGGAGGAGCCTGGAAAGGGTTTGCCACTCACAAACACAGACACACCCACAGGAAACAGGCCAAAACCCTACTTTAGGCAACCTGTTCAGTCTAACCCCAAAGCCAACACCAGTTGTGAAGGCACAAGCCTGTAATCTCAGAATCCGGGAGGTACAGACAAGAGGACTGCGAAGTCTGGATCTTTTGGGGGGACCTTGTCTTAAAAAAAGAAAGGAAAGGACAGAAAATCCTCCAAGTCCAGGTACTGTCTGCCGCACTCACCTGCCATTCCCACTGTGAGTGAACTCCAACTCCCACCACCTGCCACAGCCTCTGTCGCCACCATTATCCCCATGTCCTCTATTATCATTGGCTTGACTGATGGCAGAGCCTGCTGGGGTCCTGGCATTGTGGAGACAAACCAGGAGAGGAGCACAGAGAGAAGACACACTTGCCCAGAGTCCAGCAGCCCCTCAAAGTCCAGTCTCCTCCTCCCACCCACACCCAAAGAAAACTGGTCCTCATAGGTGCCGCTTTGTGGCTCTCTAGGCTGCAGGCAGCTGGAGAGCAGGGGAGGGGAGCCGGAGGGAGGGGCACAGTCCTGACTGTACCCACAGGATTGGTCAAGCTGCGACCTCTCTGCCAGCACCTGTGGAGAAGGCTCCTCAGAGTCAGAGTGACCTCACCAACTACCCTGATCTCCGCTAGCCTGGCCGGGATCCCAGTCATGAGGTGGCTGCCCAGTGGGCAGGGAGGCGTACTGGAGCTGTCTGGGAAGCTACAGTGAGAGGGGAAGAGGCTGAGGACCCTCCCAGGACACGATGGACAAGTTTCGGATGATCTTCCAGTTTCTGCAGTCCAACCAAGAGTCCTTCATGAACGGCATCTGTGGCATCATGGCGCTGGCCAGTGCCCAGATGTATTCTGCCTTTGACTTCAACTGCCCTTGCTTGCCGGGCTACAATGTGGCCTACAGCATGGGCATACTGCTGACGCCTCCCCTGGTGCTCTTCCTGCTTGGCCTCGTCATGAACAACAACATATCCATGCTAGCCGAGGAGTGGAAGCGGCCCGCGGGCCGCCGGGCCAAGGACCCAGCGGTGCTACGATACATGTTCTGCTCCATGGCTCAGCGGGCTCTCATCGCACCCGTCGTCTGGGTGGCTGTCACGCTGCTGGATGGCAAGTGCTTCCTCTGTGCCTTCTGCACAGCGGTGCCCGTGGCCACGCTAGGCAATGGCAGCCTGGTGCCTGGCCTGCCTGCTGCGGAGCTGGCCCGCCTGCTGGCCCGTGTGCCCTGTCCTGAGATCTACGATGGGAACTGGCTGCTGGCCCGAGAGGTGGCCGTGCGGTATTTGCGCTGCATCTCTCAGGTGAGGGGGCTGGGTCTCCTCAGAGGCCAGGGTCTCTCTGGGACGGTCCCTTCTCAAAGTGGGGTTTCCCTCAGATGGCTGTGGGTAGAGGGAAGTATTCCTAGCTGAGACTCTCTCAGACAGGGTTACCTGGAGAGCGTGTTTTCCACCTCCTCCGTCCTGAGCTCAGAGCTGAGAGAGGCTGAGAGAATTTGCATTCATTTCCTTTCCCAGGCCCAGGCAGTAGTGAGGCCAGTGGGAGGCTAAGCCATTTGGGTACATTTCCCTGGCAAATGCCCCCAGCTGGTGCCTCCCTGCTCTGGGAGTGGAAGCTGAGGGTCTGGGTATCTTGAACAAGCGCACATGGGTGAGGGAGATGGATGGTTGGGATCAGACTTAAAGGACCATCTGGGCTGCGTGTCCTGGGTTAGTGAGGGAAACGATAGGAGGCGGTGTCCGCTCCCGTGGGGCTAGAGAAGCAGGCACACTCTCCTCTGGCCAGTGCAGGCCCCTGGCTCCCCCGCCCCTGGGGGGGGACTTTTTCCCTGTACGGGCCCTGTCACCACCCAGACAGCCTCAAGAGTCTCTAACTGTGAGTGTTTAAGCCAAGCTCTTTACCTCCTCGTCTGTGGATCCTTGTCCCATCACTCTAGGCCTCAGGCCCTGGAGCGGCTGCCACTTCCCTTGACCTTTAAACTGTCACACTGTGCAAGCTTGGAAGGTCCCCCCAGAGGCCACGGGTAGCCCGACTTGTAGACAAGTCCCTGTGACTTGCAGAGACTGCATTCTGAAGTCACTTTAGAACTGACTTTATCTAGAATTTGTCAAAGAGAAAATAATCAGATTTCCAGCCTCACTTGGAACCTGAGAAAACCCAAGCCTTCTGTAACCACAACGGCTTTAGTGAGCAACATGGGAGGCAGCCCCCTGACTGAGTAATACGTTCTGGACTTTCCCACCCACCCCCATGACAGCCACTGGGCACCACTAACACCCCCCCCCCCCCGCACTTCCTTGACTTTTCCCAACTCTTCTCTGTGCAGATGGGGGTCTGACCCCAAGTACAGGCAGGAAGGGGTGTCCTGCTCTGTGCCCTGTGGTGAACTACGGTCAGAGCATGTGTCCCACGCTTTTCAGTGGAGGTCGAGGACTGTCCCAGGTGTCTCTGGAATTCCTTGAGAGACCAGCTCAGCCCGGTGGAGGGAGTGTCCACTTAGAGAGGGTGTCACTTCCAGAAGCCAGAGGAAAAGCCCAGAGCTTGCAGGAAGAAAGCCACTAGGCCCAGGGAGGTGAGGAAAGGCCTTCTGAAGGAAGAGACATGGCCGCTGAGCGGTGTCCTGACGATGTCTAACAGAGAGCGCTGTATGCGAGCTGTCTTATATTACTTGGTTCTCAGAGAAGCTCTGTGAGGCCCGTGCTATTGCCAGGAGCCCCATCTTGTAGGCAGAGACACTGAGACACAAAAGGATCAAGTGGAGACAGGATTCCTCCCCAGGAGGCCTCACTCTGGGGTGCGGAGTTAACTGCTGTCCACTGAGTGCCCTGCCAAAGCAGCATGGTCTACGCTCCCAGAATGTGACCATTTTACACCTGGGGAGATAGAGGCTAAGAGGTGGTGTCACTTGGTCCTTGGCTGCTCTTCTCTGTGGAGGCCCTCATGAGTCCTTTGGGGGTCTGGGCACGTAGGTCTGCTGACATCCTCCTCTACCCACAGGCGCTGGGCTGGTCCTTCGTGCTGCTGACAACATTACTGGCCTTCCTGGTGCGCTCTGTGCGGCCCTGCTTCACGCAAGCTGCCTTTCTCAAGAGCAAGTACTGGTCCCACTACATTGACATCGAGCGTAAGCTCTTTGATGAGACATGCACAGAGCACGCCAAGGCCTTTGCTAAGGTATGCATCCAGCAGTTCTTTGAAGCCATGAACCATGACCTGGAACTGGGGCACACCCATGGAGTGCTGGCCACAGCCACAGTCCCAGCCGCAGCCACAGCCGTGGAGGCTGCTCAGAGTCCCCCAGACAGGACGGAGGAAGAGAGGGAGAAGCTGCGTGGCATCACTGACCAAGGCACCATGAACCGGCTACTCACCAGCTGGCACAAATGCAAACCGCCGCTGCGGCTGGGCCAGGAGGCACCGCTGATGAGCAATGGCTGGGCTGGGAGTGAGCCCCGGCCTCCGTGCAGGGAGGTGGCCACCTACTTCAGCAAAGTGTGAGCTGCAGCTGGCTGTAGAGGCCGCAGAAGAGATCGGAACCCACAGCCCTCTGCCTCTCAGTGGAGACAGAAAAAACGATTCTGAGGCACAGCCACAAGTCCAGGCATTGTCCTGCTGGTGTGAAAAAAGAAATTTGGAGCCGAAGGACCTCACCTCTTTAGCTGGGATGCTGCCCTGGGCGGCCTGGGAGCAGAGTCATCCTGTGCCTCGTCTCCTGCCGCTGCAGTGTTTACGAGTGTTCAGATCTGGCTGTGGGAGCAGGACTGGTACCCGAGGCCCTTCCCCAGCCTCACTGTGATGCTGTTCCTCCATCCCTGCCTCGCTGTCTCCGCTTGGGCTCCCAAAGCCCACGCCCCAACATTTCCTCTGGCTCTAGACTTCTCTCATGCTCATGCTCAAGGGTCCCAGGGCAACCAGCCCACTCATAATCTTTGCCAGTTTCTTGGGTAAGATGGAATGGGTTTCAGCTGGTGTGTGACACACCTGAGTGACACAGGATAAGATGCCAAGACCTAGGACCATAGGAGAGAGGCCAAGGTGTGCGTCACGGAGGCCACTGGGGCAACTTTTGAGACAGACTCCATGTTTACACACCAAGTACAAAACTAATATTCTCACACACAACCTTAGGGAAGCAGACCATCCGTGGGGCTTGAGAGCTAGAAATGGAAGCTGATTAACTCTTATTTTCTCAAAGGCTCCCTGAGGAGCTTGCCCTGAGGTGTGGTGAAGATGAGGGTGTTGCCAAGGGGGGGGGAGGTAAAGTCTAGAGTGGGTAAAACTGGGTGAGATGCTGGTTCTACCATTTGCAAAGTGCGTCCCTGGGCCAAGTGCCTCATTTTCTGGGTCTCGTTTCTTCACTGGGCAACAGGGAGAAGGCCATCTACCGCACGGGTTCACCGTGCGCAAACTCACACGGCTCACGGTAGACACCTGGGCCAGAGTGGTTAATGCTTGTTCATCTCCGAGCCCTGGGCTGCTCGCCTCCCCCTCTGCTGACCCCAACCAAAGGACAGGAATCTTGTCCAAGCAGAGGAGACAGAGGTGCAGACGGGCTTCTTGTCTCCCGGTCCCATCTTTCTGTCCTCAGCCCTGCCCATCTCAGAGCTCACTTGGACCTTCGTATTCTCATCGCCCTCATCTACCATCTGTCCACTCTTAGGTGGAACCCGGGTGCCAGGGTGGCAGAGAAGAGGCAGTGGAACTTGACTTCAGCCCTGAATGAAGGGACCAGATTGGGGGGGTGGGCTTCCGCTAAGGACAGGATTCTAGGAAGTGATTGGGGAAGCCAGTGTGAGGGAAAGCTTTGGTGAGACCTGGGGGTCCAACACCAGAGTGGTAGGAGCTAAGGCAAGTCCCCCAATCTGTAAAGAGCATGTGGAAAGGCAAAGATAAAGAAATGCCGAGCCCTCTCCATTCCTGCCTGCCACACAGACAAGCCAGTCTGGGGGGCTTCAGCTTGCCACTCAGTGTGAGTTTCACCGTCACAGCCCTGGAGAGCTGAGGGCCCTGGGGTTAGCTCTCCCAATCCTAGGAGACACTGGGTTCATCTCGATGTTCTACCCGTCAGTGTATCTGACTCATGATTCTTCAGTCCCTGCGTGTGAGCTCCCAGAGATAGGAGCTCATGACCCCTCTAGGGACAGGCAGGGCAGCTTAGAAACCTGCTTCCCTTTAATTTCTACCTCTGCCCAGCCTCTGCCCTAGGAACCCAGAGGATCCCCAGATTCCCTGATTCAGTGTCAGCCATACAGAGGAGAACAGAGACAGAGCCTGGGAGTTAGCTGAACTCTGGTGGAGAAGTCTCTCCCGGGGATGGCTGGGAGACAAAGGCAGGACTCTCAGAGAGTCCAGGGCAGAGGGCATCGGGGTCTCGTCCTTCTGTATTCTGCAACATCACCATCAATCCTGAATACCTACCTCTTCCCTGACTCCCACAAGCGTCTGCCAGGTGGGTGTCAAGCATGGGGGCCGTTCTTTAAACTGGTCTGGAGGGCAAGCCTGGGCAAGATCTCCTAGGCCTGGCTCCTGCCTAGACCTTCCCAGATGGCCCCCGAGGGGTGCACAGGGTAGAGTCGAGGCAGGGCCAGCAGGGCCAGCCACAGCGGGCCCGGAGGCAGAGGCGGGCTGGGACAGGACACAGCAGCCGAGCCCGCTCCTCTACTTCCTCTGTTCCTGCCTCGCGCCGCCCTCAGCAGCCCGCCCTCCTCGGCCGGGCGCCCGGAGGCTGTTTTTCCATTCGCTGGCGAGAAAGTTCCATGCCACTGTTTCTTTCTCTATTTTTCTGGAGTTAAATTTGTCCGCAGATGCCTGCACTTCGTCTGTAGACGCCCGGAGTTAAGTTTGTTTGTAACCGGGCCCAAAGCCCTGTTGCTTTCGAACGCAAAAGCAGAGGCGCCAGTGAACCCCCCGCTGGGAGGCCACTTTGCCTCGCAGCCCCGAGTCTGTCCAGGGTCTGCGGTGCCCAGGAAGCCAAGGCCACGGGTGCATGCAGCCAGCCCCAGGTAAGGAGGGGCCCCTTCCTGGGGTGTGCAGGTATCAGGAGCTGGCAGGTTGGTCCCAGGCAGCCTCCAGGGATTGTCTGGAGAGGGAACCCTGGTACAGGTCCCTCACTCAGAGCATAGAAGTGTTGTTCCCACCCCCTCCCCTAGCTGCCGGTCTCCTGTCCTTGGGAAGAGGCCCCTGGCATAATAATCTCAGAAGATGGCCTAGGCTATCCTCCGCACACTACCCACGATATCAGGCATCCTGTACGTTAACACTGGGTGGATTTAAGAGCCTAGGGCCACTAAACGGAGCTAATTGGGTGTCAGGAATGGAGAAAGGGAGGGATGGGGTTCCCTCTAGCCCGTTTATCTCCAGCAACAGGATGAAGTCCCTTCCTTGTGGGATTATTCGGGATCTCTGGGCACTGGGCTGAGGAGTCAGACATTCCCTCCTCCTGGAGCCCACATGGCCACATGGCCTTACCCGTGCCCATCTGGCATCCTTGGCAGAGGCTGCAACAGGAAAAAGGATGTGAATATGAAACAGAGAGAGCAGGCACAGGCCTCCCTAGCTCTCTTCACAGCTCACCCCTCTCTCCACTTCTAGGCTTCTTTTGGCCTGGGAAGTTTTGTTTTTTTTCATTCCCCTGATGGGGATGGACATGGGGCCACACCCTGCCTGTCTCTCTGGGTGTGTGGGTAGAGCCTGGGAAAAGAATTAGAGCTAAACTTCCAAAGAGCCTGAGGCCAAGGCCATTTCTGGCAAGGTGCCATCTCTGAGGCAGTCACTGATTCAGGGGAAGGCTGGCAGGTACAGTGGGCCCGAACCCCATTGAGGGGGCTGTGGCTGGCGGGTGCTGAAGGTCTCCAGCCTAGGCTTCTTGGAGCAGAGTTTCTGCAGGATGCTGAATGGGGAAGTTTGAGGGGAGCAAGGTCTGAAGGAGGTTGTGAACATGGGGACTATCTCAGCTCAGACTTATTTTGTCCACTTCCTAAGTATTCTCAAGTCATGGTCAAAGCCTTGCCTGGCTCCTCCAGATTTGCCTGGCCTCAGGCAAGATACCCTGTCCTCCTCAAGTCTTCATTTTCTGATCTTTGCCATCAGGAGAATCTTCCTCAACCGGTAGACATGGCAGGGTAAGAGTTTTGGATGCTGAACTACTACCAGGCATCATTTACTGTCCCCTTACATTCCTAGAAGGGGTCAGGGACCAGAATGACTTACCCTTTTCACAGTTGAATCTTGTGTCAAACTTGCCCTGATCCAGAGGACCTGGCTCCCACCAGACCCTGATCCAGTCTGTCCTTTGTCCACTAGGACAGGCCCTGCAGCTTTGATACCCATATCACACCCTCCAAATTGTCCCAAATCCCTAGCATCTTTGTACCTCCTGGAATTCCAGAGAGAAATCATCCCCTGTCACCTAATGTCACTCTTGATCCTGATGGGACGAGGGTAGTGGCAAAAGAGACCTTATAACAGTCGAAGCAGGCAGACCTGATCTTGAACTTGGAGGGAGGCCAGCCATTTATTTACATGTGGCCCTGGCCAAGGGCTGGCTCATCCTCAGGAAGCCTCATCCTTTTCTGTGCTTGGGGTGTGTGTGTGTCGGTATGTAAGGATGCCGGGGGGCGAGGGGGGGGGGTTGCCATGGATACTGTGCAGACTCATGAGGACAGGCAACATCATTTGAGAGCATCTGGCACCTAGCAGGAACTTAAGCAACCATGGCTACCAGCATTTCCGTGGAGGCCCTCAGCTCCCTCCTGTCTCACCTGCTTGACCACAGCAGCACCCTCAGCCCGTGTTCAGAGGCACGCATTTATCACTCATCTGTGTTTCACAGGAAGCACCAGTTCAGCCACCGTAGGCGATAAAATGGCATAGTCTCACCAGAAGCCACCCATTCCATCGTCCTCTTCTGCCTCCTCTTAAGCACTCCATCCCTAGCCCGCCGGTCGCCATGGCGGCCTTGATTGCAGAGAACTTCCGCTTCCTGTCTCTCTTCTTCAAGAGCAAGGATGTGATGATTTTCAATGGCTTGGTGGCCCTGGGCACGGTGGGCAGTCAGGAGCTGTTCTCTGTGGTGGCCTTCCACTGTCCCTGCTCACCTGCCCGGAACTACCTGTACGGGCTGACAGCCATCGGCGTGCCCGCGCTGGCGCTCTTCCTTATTGGAGTCATCCTCAACAACCACACTTGGAACCTAGTTGCCGAGTGCCAGTACCGGAGGGCCAAGAACTGCTCGGCGGCCCCCAACTTCCTCCTCCTGAGCTCCATCCTGGGCCGCGCAGCTGTGGCTCCTGTCACCTGGTCTGTCATCTCCCTGCTCCGAGGGGAGGCCTACGTCTGTGCTCTCAGTGAGTTTGTGGACCCGTCCTCGCTCACGGCTGGGGATGAAGGCTTCCCCTCAGCTCATGCCACGGAGATCCTAGCCAGGTTCCCTTGTGGAGAGGGCCCTGCCAACCTGTCCGGCTTCCGGGAAGAGGTCAGCCGTAGGCTCAAGTATGAGTCCCAGGTAAGGGGCTGTGTGAAGGGCAGCCTTCCTCCTTCCCTCCCAAGGTGGGAGCTGGTGGGCTGGCACACAATAGGATGGTCCAGTGTGAAAATGAGCGAGAGTCTCCAGGGAAGCACTAGATGACCATGTCAGGCCTCAGGGCAGGTTAACCGTGGCTCAGTGTTCTGTGGGACAGTTCATCACAGGTCTCTGATTTGCCTTTAGGTGCTTGGGATCGAATCCAAGTCCACATGAGTGCCAAGCATGCGCTCTGCCACTTACTACACTTCCAGCCCTTAGAGACAGTTTTAAGCATAAGGGGACACCACCTGGAAGCCCAGAGAAAGCATCCCATATCCCATAACACCACAGGACCATTCCCAATCTACCTGCTGAGATTATCTTTACTCCAGCTTGACTGGGCATTGACTCCTGCAGGCCACCTCAGAAATATCTGCTGTGGGCTTTGAGTTGATGGTGGAACCTGGTTGACTCCAGGGATGACCACATTCCTGTCCGGGCCGAGTCAGTCTCACTCTTGGGGCAGGTCAGGAGAGGCAGGCAACTACAGCTTGGGCCTAGCTACAGCCTTCTCTGCATCCTGCTTGGAGGTTGGTTGAGGGAAAAGGGGTCAAAAGAATGGTCAGGGGCTGGAGAGATGGCTCAGCAGTTAAGAGCACTGGCTGCTCTTCCAGAGGACCTGGGTTCAATTCCCAGAAACCACATTGTAGCTCACAATCCTCTGTAATTCCAGTTCCGGGGATTCAATGGCCTCCAAGGGCACTAGGAACACCCATAGTGTATAGGCTTAGACTTATGTGCAGGCAAAACGCTCACATACATTAAAAAAGAAAGGAAGAAGGAAAGAAGAGAAAGAGAGAGGAGGGAGGGGAAAAAGCCTGAGCTGGCTGCCTGTGCTGGATCTTGCTGTAATCCACTACTGGGGAGGTAAACATAGGAGCGTCTGGAGTTCAGGGTCATTTTTAGCTACATAGTAAATTAAGGGCCAGTTTGGACCATTGTTTCCATGAAAAGGAGGAGGGCTGGAGAAATGGCCGGGTAAAGACTGAGAGTATTGCTCTTCCAGAACACCTGAGTTCAGTTCCCAGCATCCATGTCAAGCAGCTCACAGCTACCTGTAACTCTAGCTCCATGGGATACAACACCCTCTTCTGGACTCTGCATTCACAAAAAATACCCCCTGACACATGTACATATCCCCTGACACATGTACATATCCCCCCAACACATATACATATCCCCCGACACATGTACATATCCCCCAACACATATACATATCCCCCCAACACATATACATATCCCCTGACACATGTACATATCCCCAACACATATACATATCCCCCAACACATATACATATCCCCCGACACATATACATATCCCCCGACACATGTACACACACCCCAACACAAAAAACCTAAAATAATTCAACAGGGGCAACATAAGGGGAAGAGGTGGGGCTAAGATGTAGCTCAGTAGAACGCATGCCTAGGACACATCAGGTCCTGGGTTTGATCCCGAGCACCACATAAACTAGGTGTGGTACATGCCTGTAACCTTGGCACTCAGGAGGTGGAGGCAGGAGCATCAGAAACTCAAGACCATGCTCAGCTACACTGGGTACTTAAGGCCCTGTCTTGGGGTGGGGGCAGGGAGGAAGCAGAGAAACGGAGCTGAAGTCAGCATCAGAGATGGGAGATGGTAAATACAGGAATCCTGGTCACTAATCCACAGGTCCTTGCCCTCGACACTTACATCTTCCTAGCATGAAGTAAGCACACAGGCGATCTGAGGCCAGGCAGATATTGATGTTGTGTGAGATTGAAGCCTCTGAAGTCTTCAGATGTGTCATCTGAGCTGACCCACAGTTTAAACTGGTTTTTTGTGGATGGGAGCCTCACATGCTTAACATGTGCTGTCACTGAGCTCCACTCCTGGCTCCTGAGCTGGGTTTTGGTAGAGCACGGTGACAAAGCACCCTTGGGACTGAAGAATAAAAAAGGCAGAAGGCACAGCCTGGGTACGGGAGAGTGTGTGGGTTAAAGGGAGTAAGAATAGAAAAGAGGAAGTCCTGCTTGCCGTGAGCAGTATCAGTTCCTTTTCCACGCGTCTCCCCCCCCCTCCCGCCCCCCTCTCCTTAGGCAGGGTCCAGGTAGCTGTCAGCCCCTCCTGAGCCCTGCCTGTTCTCTGGACAGCTCTTTGGATGGCTCCTCATCGGCGTGGTGGCCATCCTGGTGTTCCTGACCAAATGCCTCAAGCACTACTGCTCGCCGCTCAGCTACCGCCAGGAGGCCTACTGGGCACAGTACCGCACCAACGAGGACCAGCTCTTCCAGCGCACGGTGGAGGTACACTCAAGGGTGCTGGCCGCCAACAACGTGCGCCGTTTCTTTGGCTTTGTGGCCCTCAACAAGGATGATGAAGAGCTGGTTGCCAAGTTCCCAGTGGAAGGCACACAGCCACGACCACAGTGGAATGCTATCACGGGGGTCTATCTGTACCGTGAGAACCAGGGCCTCCCACTCTACAGTCGCTTACACAAGTGGGCCCAGGGCCTGACCGGTAACGGGACAGCTCCTGACAACGTGGAGATGGCCCTGCTCCCCGCCTAGGGCCTGCTGCCTTGCTCTCAACCAAACCCGCATGGCATGCTCACCTCAGCATCAGATTTTCCTGTTAACTACAGTGTCTGGGGCATAGACCAAGGGGACATAAAACTACTAGTAGTTTGCAAGGCTCTTGTGGACCACATGGTCCAGAGACTGGGGGTGAGGGTTTGACTTCTCAGACCTGCTGAAATCATCTCCCACGGCCACCAAGGCACAAGTCACAGCTATAGATAACTTTCCCAGAGCTGGTCCGTAACTCTGACGTGGGCGATCTTTCGTGGGCCTGCAGGCTGAGAAGCATCAGCCGGCGGGGCCTGGTGCCAGTACAGCCCACTGGGGGACTCGCTGTTGTACAGCCCACTCTGTGCAGTTAACTTGTGTCTATCTGCACAGGGTGCCCAGCTCCTCGGCGTACGGCTAGGAAGCTGCCCCCGTTGTATACCTCTGGCCTAATTTTATATATTTAAACTTTTTGATAAAAGTGTTTCTTACTTTAAAAGGCTAACTGGTGTCTGTGCAGTTGACAAGGGCGAACAGCCCATTGTGGGAGGCCATGGGACAGGACTAAAGCGGACCACAAAAGTGGCAGCAGTCTAAGGCGCGTCAAACATCCACCCAAGGGCTGAGGCTCCTGGCCATCTGATCCAGGTACCTGACTTAATCTGGTCAGAGGCAGCCTGGCCTTTTGCAGGGGCAGGTAAGTTGAAAAGATCACACCAGAAGCTCCCGCCCTGGGCAGGACTCGTACGAAACAACTCCAAGAACCGTGGGCTTCAGCAATTCCTCCCTCTCAGCCCTGCATCGACTAGCTCCACACTCAAAACCTCCTGCCCTGCTTTGTCCCTGTCCTGCTTCCTGGCATACAACCCAGCCATTTCCCCCAGAAAACTCAGACAACAATTTAGGCTGGCAGAGGAAGCTTTTAATTCCCTTAGGCTGAAGGAAAAAAAAAAGATGCCAACAACTAGTAGTAGGGTGCTGTGGGATGGTCTGTATGTCAAATTGCTCTGATTGGTCAATAAATAAAACAGTGATTGGCCAGTGGCCAGGCAGGAAGTAGGTGGGACAAGGAGAGAGGAGAATTCTGAGAAGCAGAAGGCTGAGGCAGAGAGACATTGCCAGCCACAGCCATGACCAGCAGCATGTAAAGACACTGGTAAGCCACCAGCCACGTGGCAAGGTATAGATTTATGGAAATGGATTAATTTAAGATATAAGAACAGTTAGCAAGAAGCCTGTCACGGCCATACAGTTTGTATGCAAAATAAGTCTCTGTGTTTACTTGGTTGGGTCTGAGCGGCTGTGGGACTGGTGGGTGACAAAGATTTGTCCTGACTGTGGGCAAGGCAGGAAAACTCTAGCTACAGTAGGGTCTGTGCCAGCACCGACTGCTGGGCTGTGGCAGACGAGGTGGGTCACCGGCCTTGGGAGAGAGAGGGCGGAGACCAGGCAGTTTAATCAATACTTTCAGCTTTCCTTAGCAGCTTGTTTCCCATGTTTCTGGATTCTTCCTCTGCCCTGTTAGTCTCCCAGCCTCCACAACAGGGCAAATGGTACGGGCTGACCCGAGACAATGTCTTCCCACACCCTGTGGGTATGGACTGAGCGCTTGCCAAGGGACAGAGTGGGATCCTGACCATGAAAACCCTGGCTCTGCCTTTCTGTTCTTAGACGGCAGCAAATTCTCCTGAAAGGAATGTTTGTTTTTTTCTGGAAGCCCAAGAGATTGCTGCCTGAAACTGGAGCCACCTCAGGAAAGGAGAAGGACACGTAATGTGTTACATAAACAAGAGCATTAAACCTCAAGGGCTGGGCGTTACTGGAAGAACGCTTGCTTAGCAAGTGTAAGGCCTCAGCTCAATCTGTGGCACCCTAAATTTAAAATATATATATATATATATATATATATATATATATATATATATATAAAAGCAAGAAGTGATAGTACACGCCTTTAATCCCAGCACTTGGGAGGCAGAGGCAGTAGATTTCTGAGTTCAAGGCTGGCCAGGTCTGCATAGCAGATTCCAGGCCAGCCAGGACCAGAGAGTGAGGATCCTGTCTCAAAAAATTTTTTTTTAATTTTTAATTTTTTTTTTTTTTAAAAAGGAGAAAGCCTCTCAAAGTTCTTTATTCTGACAGGATTGTTCCAGGCACGCTGCAGAAAAAGCAGCACTTAACGTCCTCAGGCAGCCGCTTCCTAAACGTCCAGTGCCTGCTGCTACAGTGTACAGCGGAGCCTGGGGCCCCTAGTCCTCCAGCCCTGAGCTCTTGGCCTCCACGTACTCCAGGGCCTTGGCCTTGACGGCCTGCACGTCCTTCTCAGTGCCATGCTGCTTCTCGTAGTCCAGGTAGCGCTTGAAGAAGAACTTCATCCTCTTAGGGGCCAGGCTCAGATGAATGACCCGTTCAAAGATGTCCCTAGGAGGAGGAACAGGGAAGCGATTCCCTCAGGGCTCCTACCACGTGACCCCTAGTTAGTGCTCCCCAACTTGCTCAGGCACCAGGTCCTCTAACATCCAAGACCCCATTTCTTACCATCAGTGTGAACTCCTGTCAGAGACCAAAGATCTAACCTGCCTGAGGTTACACAGTGAAGGACAGAGATGCTGGGATGGGGACACACAGTGACAGAAGCCAAACTTCAACCCCCAGAAGGGTAGGAATCGGGTACCTGTGCCTTCTGGACCCTGCCCCAACTACCCACCTCCACCGTCCTTGCCCTGCAGGGATTATGGGGGACAAAAGTGAGAGCCTGCCATGAAGGTTCCATTGATGAGAGGCAGGCACAATGTGAATCCCATGGGATCCCAGGTCTCCTAGTTCCCAGGGCACCCCCCACCCCACCCCCCACCCCGCAGAGGGTTCAGACACACAAAGACTGGAAAGGAGAAATCAGGTGGACCAGGGAACCATGTCAAAGCTGTTTTTCGGTATCAAGTCGCTAAACATTAATAAGGCCAAAGCTCCCTCCTACCCGCCCCCACCAGGAGTCAGCCTGTTGTCCTCTCACCTGACTTCCTTCTGGCTGCCATGCTTGATGGTCATGTCGATGTAGACTGACCAGACATCTGTGCGTTTTGGGTAGGTGCTCAGTGTGTTTTCAAAAATGGCTTTAGCCCGCTCTGCATCCCCCAGCTGGAACTCTAGCTGGGCAAACTTGGCAAGCACATCCACATCTGTGGAGAAAGGACAGGTTAGAGGAAAGACAATTCCAGAGACCCCTCACCACATCACACTGTGCTACGGGGATAGGGTTAGTCCAATTCACTGCTCTAGGGCCAAGATCTAGGATGGTAAGAGAGACAAAGCCCCAAAAGGATACCGTGGGTTTGAAGTCAAATATACACCCAAGCCTTGCAGACATCCCTCATCTTAGGCCCATGGACAACAGGATCAGTGCTGATTGTTTTTGCCCCTCCATCCTTTGGGGTCCAGCATCTGACATGCACACATCACCACCCATGAGTACACCATTAGCTTCCCCAAGTCAGGAGCGACTCCATCCTTTACAAGATACCAACTGCCACTTCCAGGTATCAGGCCTGTGTGTGTGCAGGAACGGGGGAAGAGCACTCACGCTCCTTGGTGGGCAGGCACTCCAGGGCTCGCTGCAGCACGCGGTGACTGGCCCCAGCCTGACTCCTCCCCAAAACAAAAGCACCGTATTTGATCCAGACAGCCTTCTCCTGCCGGAAACGCTTCAGCATCCGGTTGTACAGCTCACCAGCTTCCTATGGGAAAGCACAGCGTGGCACTTCAGAGGGGCAATGAGGAGGGTGAGGAGGTGGGAGGGAGGAGCCTCCCTCGTAACCCCTCTAGGGACCAAGGTCTGGACAGAAGACGGTGACAATGGCAAGGGTAAGCAGAGGGAAGGGAGGGCCGACGAGCCTGGAATGGGACAGTACAGGGACCGAGGGGTAGAGTGCTCACTTACTGCTGACCTGGGCCTGTTCGGGAGCCTAGCAGCCTACCTTGAACTTCTCTGACTTGGTGTAGATGTCAGCCAGATGCAGGAAAACCTTGAGAGGCTCATTGTACTGCAGAGCCCGCTCGAAGACCTTAGTCAGGGACTCCGGAGAGCCGTACATGTTTTCGAGGTTCAGCAGTGCCACCCACACGTTCAGCTTTTCCTGTTCCTCTCTGGAGGTGGAGTGGGTAGAACATGAGTTCCATCAACTCGGCATTGGACGCCCAAGAACCATCTCTCCCAGGCAACAACTATGTCTGTCCTCAAGTCCCCCCGTAAGGCAGACACTCAGACCATCTCCACTGCAGCTCACTGTAAGGGGACCTGTACTCCCTGATCTCTTACTGCCAAGTCTGGGCCTCCCCTGATCTCTCCCTCCATTCCTGGGAAGGAAGCCTCCAGATTGCAAACTGGAACAGAATCTTGAGTCTGATTCTCTCCCCCACTGAAGGGAGCAAAGCATAAAACTGTCACCTCTCCAGCAGGCTTCAGAGAGCTACCTCCGCTCTGCCAAGAATAGGTTTACACCCAAGTGTGTGGGGGTCCTCCCTGCTCTGCATGTTTTAACTAGAACCTTGCTAGCACACAGAGACTAGTACAAGTTGCCATAGTGATTTCATCGAAGAGGACCATAAAATATAAATGGGTGATCTGTTTCGGATGGCTACACTTACAAGATGAGCCTGAAAGACCATGGGCTGCTGCTGGCTCCAGCCAGGAAGAACGAGCCATGGTGGCAAACTCTAAGCCAAAACAAAGGGAAGAGCCCAAGCCCTGACCTGAAGGAGATGGTCTTCAGGGCCCTCTCGGCTACCGCTCGGGCCTTCTCAATCTCTGTGGCCTGCAGGTGGAAAGCCATGTACTGCAGCCACAGGATGGAGCTGTTGGGGGAGCTCAACACCAGCCGGTCAAAGTCATCCGCAGACTCAGGCTGCCGCCCGGGGTCCATGAGGGCCTCCTCAAGGCGTGACAGCTCCTTCTCCGCCTTCTGCTTCTCCAGCTCCCTCTCCTTCTTGCCTTTCTTCTTCTGCACGGAAGGAAGAACAGGGAGTCAGCTGTCCCTTCAAGCCCAGGGGAGACCTGAGGCAGAAGCCCTGGGTTCACAGGACAGTCCAAGAACCCTACCAGGAAGAAACCTAAGCCAGAAAAGGGCCTAGGAGCTGGGGCAGAGGGGTCTCTGCCAGAGAAGCTAAGCCGTGGAGATAGAGCACCTTGGCTTGGCGCGGCTCCTCCTCCTCCTCGCTGTCTGAGCTCTCTCCTCGGAGGGGCAAGGCTGGAGTCAGAGAGTCGAGCCCCACGTCCCAAATGAAGCCTGAAGAGAGCTGCAGCCGGGGCGCCTCCGCGGGCTTTGTCTGCTGCCCCTGCAGGATCACAGAACACTGAGGGGCCGTTCCCTGTCCCCTGCCTACTGCCACACCAAAGGCGCCCCTCAGCCTCAGTCTCCTGAGGGGACAGCAGTGACTTAGAAATGTTCTTTCCAAGTCGATTACTCGGACAATGAGTTTATAAAATGTAAACACGCACGCACGCAC